GCAGGGCGGCCAGCGCAGCCGACGGACAAGCGAAAACAAACAAAAACAAACAAAACCAGTGAATTGGGCCAGCCGAGGGGCCGAGCGACCGAACGGCGGCGGGCGGGCCTGGGCGACCAGTGCAGCCGACGGACAAGCGAAAACAAACAAAAGCAAACAAAACCAGTGCATTTGGCCAGCCGAGGGGCCGAGCGACCGCGGTGCGGCGGGCGAGCCTGGGCGACCAGTGCAGCCGACGGACAAGCGAAAACAAACAGAAACAAATCATGCCAGGGAGTGGGGCCAGCCGAGGGGCCGAGCGACCGAACGGCGGCGGGCGGGCCTGGGGCGACCAGTGCAGCCGACGGACAAGCGAAAACAAACAAAAACCAACAAAACCAATGCATTTGGCCAGCCGAGGGGCCGAGCGACCGCGGGGCGGCGGGCGAGCCCGAGGCGACCAGTGCAGCCGACGGACAAGCGAAAACAAACAGAAACAAAGAAAGCCAGGGAATGGGGCCAGCCGAAGGGCCGAGCGACCGAAAGGCGGCGGGCGCGCGCAGGGCGACCAGTGCAGCCGACAGACAAGCGAAAACAAACAAAGCACAAACAAAACCAGTGAATTGGGCCAGCCGAGGGGCCGAGCGACCGAACGGCGGCGGGCGGGCTCGGGGCGACCAGTGCAGCCGACGGACAAGCGAAAACAAACAAAAACAAACACAACCAATGCATTTGGCCAGCCGAGGGGCCGAGCGACCGCGGGGCGGCGGGCGAGCCTGGGGCGACCAGCGCAGCCGACGGACAAGCGAAAACAAACAGAAACGAAGAAAGCCAAGGAAAGGGGCCAGCCGAGGGGCCGAGCGACCGAAAGGCGGCGGGCGCGCGCAGGGCGACCAGCGCAGCCGACGGACAAGCGAAAACAAACAAACAACAACAAACAAAACCAGTGAATTGGGCCAGCCGAGGGGCCGAGCGACCGAGCGGCGGCGGGCGGGTCTGGGGCGACCAGTGCAGCCGACGGACAAGCGAAAACAAACAAAAAAACAAACAAAACCCATGCATTTGGCCAGCCGAGGGGGCGAGCGACCGCGGGGCGGCGGGCGAGCTTGAGGCGACCAGTGCAGCCGACGGACAAGCGAACACAAACAAAAACAAACAAAGCCAGTGAATTGGGCCAGCCGAGGGGCCGAGCGACCGAACGGCGGCGGGCGCGCGCAGGGCGACCAGCGCAGCCGACAGACAAGCGAACACAAACAAAAACAAACAAAGCCAGTGAATTGGGCCAGCCGAGGGGCCGAGCGACCGAACGGCGGCGGTTGGGCCTGGGGCGACCAGTGCAGCCGACGGACAAGCGAAAACAAGCAACAACCAACAAAACCAATGCATTTGGCCGGCCGAGGGGTCGAGCGACCGCGGGGCGGCGGGCGAGCTTGAGGCGACCGCTGCAGCCGACGGACAAGCGCAAACAAACAGAAACAAAGAAAGCCAGGGAATGGGGCCAGCCGAGGGGCCGAGCGACCGAAAGGCGGCGGGCGTGCGCAGGGCGACCAGTGCAGCCGACGGACAAGCGAAATCAAACAAAAACAAGCAAAACCAGTGAATTGGGCCAGCCGAGGGGCCGAGCGACCGCGGGGCGGCGGGCGAGCCTGGGGCGACCAGCGCAGCCGACGGACAAGCAAAAACAAACAAAAATAAACAAAACCATGGATGGGGCCCGCCGAAGGGCCGAGCTGCCGCGGGGCGGCGGGCGAGCCTGGGGCGACCAGTGCAGCCGACGGATAAGCGAAAACGAACAGAAACAAAGAAAGCCAGGGAGTGGGGCCAGCCGAGGGGCCGAGCGACCGAAAGGCAGCGGGCGCGCGCAGGGCGACCAGTGCAGCCGACGGACAGGCGGAATCAAACAAAAACAAACGAAACCAATGAATTGGGCCAGCCGAGGGGCCGAGCGACCGAACGGCGGCGGGCGGGCCCGGGGCGACCAGGGCAGCCGACGGACAAGCGAAAACAAACAAAAACAAACAAAACCAATGCATTTGGCCAGCCGAGGGGCCGAGCGACCGCGGGGCGGCGGGCGGGCCCGAGGCGACCAGTGCAGCCGACGGACAAGCGAAAAACAAACAGAAACAAAGAAAGCCAAGGAATGGGGCCAGCCGAGGGGCCGAGCGACCGAAAGGCGGCGGGCGTGCGCAGGTCGACCAGTGCAGCCGACAGACAAGCGAAAACAAACAAAATACAAACAAAACCAGTGAATTGGGCCAGCCGAGGGGCCGAGCGACCGAACGGCGGCGGGCGGGCCTGGGGCGACCAGCGCAGCCGACGGACAAGCGAAAACAAGCAACAACAAACAAAACCAATGCATTTGGCCAGCCGAGGGGCCGAGCGACCGCGGGGCGGCGGGCGAGCCTGGGGCGACCAGTGCAGCCGATGGACAAGCGAAAAAAAACAAAAACAAACAAAACCAATGCATTTGGCCAGCCGAGGGGGCGAGCGACCGCGGGGCGGCGGGCGAGCTTGAGGCGACCAGTGCAGCCGACGGACAAGCGAAAACAAACAGAAACAAAGAAAGCCAGGGAATGGGGCCAGCCGGGGGGCCGAGCGCCCGAAAGGCGGCGGGTGTGCGCAGGGCGACCAGCGCAGCCGACGGACAAGCGAAATCAAACAAAAACAAACAAAACCAGTGAATTGGGCCAGCCGAGGGGCCGAGCGACCGAACGGCGGCGGTCGGGCCTGGGGCGACCAGCGCAGCCGACGGACAAGCGAAAACAAACAACAGCAAACGCAACCAATGCATTTGGCCGGCCGAGGGGCCGAGCGACCGCGGGGCGGCGGGCGAGTTTGAGGCGACCACTGCAGCCGACGGACAAGCGAAAACAAATAGAAACAAAGAAAGCCAGGGAATGGGGCCAGCCGAGGGGCCGAGCGACCGAAAGGCGGCGGGCGTGCGCAGGTCGACCAGTGCAGCCGACGGACGAGCGAAATCAAACAAAAACAAGCAAAACCAGTGAATTGGGCCAGCCGAGGGGCCGAGCGACCGAACGGCGGCGGGCGGGCCTGGGGCGACCAGCGCAGCCGACGGACAAGCGAAAACAAGCCGAAACAAACAAGACCAATGAATGGGGCCAGCCGAGGGGCCGAGCGACCGCGGGGCGGCGGGCGGGCCTGGGGCGACCAGTGCAGCCGACGGACAAGCGAAAACAAACAAAAAACAAACAAAACCAATGAATTGGGCCAGCCGATGGGCCGAGCGCCCGCGGGGCGGCGGACGAACCTGGGGCGACCAGTGCAGCCGACGGACAAGCGAAAACAAGCAGAAACAAACAAAACCAGTGAATTTGGCCAGCCGAGGGGCCGAGCGCCCGCGGGGCGGCGGGCGAGCCTGGGGCGACCAGCGCAGCCGACGGACAAGCGAAAACAAACAAAAACAAACGAAACAGTGGAAAGGGGCCAGCCGAGGGGCCGAGCGACCGCGGGGTGGCGGGCGAGGCTGGGGCGACCAACGCAGCTGACGGACAAGCGAACACGAACAACAACAAACAACATCAGGGAATTGGGCCAGCCGAGGGGCCGAGCGAGAGAACAGCGGCGGGCGAGCCTGGGGCGACCAGTGCAGCCGACGGACAAGCGAAAACAAACAAAAACAAGCAAAACCAATGTATTTGGCCAGCCGAGGGGCCGAGCGACCGCGGAGCGGCGGGCGAGCCTGAGGCGACCGGTGCAGCCGACGGACAAGCGAAAACAAACAGAAACAAAGAAAGCCAGGGAGTGGGGCCAGCCGAGGGGCCGAGTGACCGAAAGGCGGCGGGCGAGCCTGGGGCGTCCAGTGCAGCCGACGGACAAGCGAAAACAAACAAAAACAAACAACATCAGGGAATTGGGCCAGCTGAGGGGCCGAGCGACCGAACGGCGGCGGGCGGGCCTGAGACGACCAGTGCAGCCGACGGACAAGCGAAAACAAACAGGAACAAAGAACGCCAAGGAATGGGGCCAGCCGAGGGGCCGAGCGACCGCGGGGCGGCGGGCGGGCCTGGGGCGACCAGTGCAGCCGACGGACAAGCGAACACAAACAAAAACAAACAAAACCAAGGAATGGGGCCAGCCGAGGGGCCGAGCGACCGCGGGGCGGCGGGCGTGCGCAGGGCGACCAGTGCAGCCGACGGACAAGCGAAAACAAACAGAATCAAACAAAACCAGTGAATTCGGCCAGCCGAGGGGCCGAGCGACCGAACGGCTGCGGGCGGGCCTGGGGCGGCCAGTGCAGCCGACGGACAAGCGAAAACAAACAAAAACAAACAAAACCAATGCATTTGGCCAGCCGAGGGGCCGAGCGACCGAAAGGCCGCGGGCGGGCCTGGGGCGACCAGTGCAGCCGACGGACAAGCGAAAACAAACAGAAACAAACAAAACCAACGCATTTGGCCAGCCGAAGGGCCGAGCGACCGAAAGGCTGCCACTGCGATCGACGGACAAACGAAAACAAGCCAGAACAACCGAAACCAGCCAAGGAATGGGGCCATCCGAGGAGCCAAGCGACCTAGCGCTACTGCGCGCCGCTGAGACAGGGCCCGGAAATTTGCAATCTACTTCTTGTAATTGCTGTTGCTGTTGTTTTTTTGGGCGGCCCCGAATGCAATCTACTTCTTCCGCCTTCCTACTTCATGTTTCTACCTACTTCTTCCGACCGGTGGGTATTCCTCCTGTGGAGGGACAGGGCCGATCCTGGCCCCAAGGTGTTCCCGCCATCTCCAGGGAGACCCGGCGGCCTCCAGGGCACCCCCATAGGATGAAGCCGGGCCTGTCCCTCCACAGGGGGAATGAGATTCAAAGGTAGTCACAAAAATAGTTTGGGGGCGATTTGCCTGGTATGGTTTGACCATTTCGGATGTATTTTTGATTCTTCGCCCAGAATCCGCCTGTAGGGGGACATGCCCGACCTAAGCCTATGATGGGGGCCCAGGAGCTCCAAGACGGAGCGAAGAGCTGGGGACCCCTCTGGGCCAGCGACATTTTTGGCACCCCCCGAGACATCGAGCGCGCCCGCGAGGCCCTGGCGCGAGACGAGGCGGCCGAGGAGCTGCGCCAGGCCAGGGCGGCTGCGCAGCGAGGCAGCCTGGGCGCGGAGAGGCTGCGCGCGGCGCAGGCGGAGGCGGAGGCCGCCGAGGACGAGGCGGCCGCGCTCAGCGAGAGGCTGCGCCAGAGCGAGGCGAGCCTGGCCCAGGAGATCAGAGGAGGAAGAGGTACCGACACCGCTACCCTCGCCTCGTTTTCGCCCTTCGGGCCTCCTGGGAGGCCTCCGTCGACGCCGCTGGATTCGCCTCGAAATCCTGGTCAGAACGCGCCCCGGGAGAGGTCCAGGGAGTAGTGGTATCGGTGCCTTTGGGCTTCCCCAGGAGAAGGGCACGTGCGAGGAGCTGCGGTCCAGCCTGGACCAGCGAAGCGCCGACCGGGCGAAGCTCGCGAGGGACTGCGAGGCGCTGCAGCAGGAACTGGATGCGCTGGAGCAGCGGCGGGGGGATGAGGCGCTCCGCGAGGTCTACGAGAGGTCGAGGGCGGAGTTCCACCGCCTCTCTCACGAGGTCAACACCGCGAGGCGCCAGGCCCTGCTGCAGACGCAGTCCATCCAGGGGGCCCTCGACGAGACGAGGAGGATGCTCTCCGACCACCTGGACCAGACGCACAGGCAGCTCCTGGACCAGACCACCCGGACGGACTCCTCTCGGGTGTTGCTAGAGGTGGTCCTGGCCCCAGGTGCTCCCGGCTGTTCACCCCCCCCTCTGGTGCCTCCGGGGCCCGCTGGGCCTCCCGAGAGGTGCAATGGGAGCCCTCTGCGCCTCCCTCGGAGATCTGGGGTCGCCTGGGGCCAGGGCCGCCTCCAGTCACGCCCGATCCTCCCTGGGCGTGTTCACCATGGCGCTCAGCGACGCCCGCGCCAAGGCCGCGAGCGCCGCGGCCGCCAAGCTGGCGCTCGAGGACCAGTGCGCCGCCCTCGCGGCGGAGGTGCAGCGGGGCACGCAGGAGCTGGCCGCGCAGAGGGGCCACGCGCAGGCCCGCTGCTCCGAGGAGGTCGTCGGGCAGCTCGTCGCCGCCCGAGCCGAGCTCGAGGCCGCGAGCCGCCGGGCCAGCAGGGCCGCCGACGAGGCGCGGCGCGCCGAGGACGCGGCGGCGGAGGCCGCGCTCGCCGCGGGCGATCAGGAGCGGCTGCTGCGGGGCAAGCTCGAGCAGTTGTGGGGCGCAGTGCGCCAGTGTGGCGCGGTGGGCGCCGCGGGCGTCTGAGCCACGAGGGCCGTCCTCGCCGCTCGCTGCACCCCCGCCGCCGTCTCCCCGTCTGCCTTCGCCCCGCCTGCCGCTGCCCGCTTGCATGCCATTTCCTCTCCCTCTCGTTCTCTCTCTCTCTCTCTCTCTTGTGGGGCAGACGCAGCACCTGTCTGCCGGGGGAGCCCAGTCACAATCACATGGCCGTCACGATCGTCATCGTTGTCGTCGTCGTCGCCCTCCACCTCAGCCTCAAGTCCCCTCCCCCCTCCTCACGTGCCGTGGCATCGCTCGCACGTGTGCATTTCTTGCCGGCGAGGACCATCAGGAGCATTCCGGCACATCCTACGACAACTTACGCACGAAATCGAACAACGCACGGGGAGTGGACGTCCAAGCGATGGCGAGGTGCCCGTGCCCGCGGCGGCCTGTGTGGGGCTCCGGCGCGTGGTGCGTGCAGACAGCTCGGAGGGCGAGGGGGAGGAGAGAGAGAGAGAGAGATAGGCAGAGAGCGGTGCGGTGTACACCGACCTGGGGCCTCAGGTGGGCCCCGCCCGACGGTGTTCGAAGACGAGCCCAGATCCAAGAAGTCTGCCTGGAGAGTGTATATACCATGGTTTGCTCCTTCCGGAATGCAGTCGAGGCGCTGGGAGAAGGACCACGTTGGGTTCAGGAGGGGCTCCGGTGTCCGGGCCGTTCCTTCTGTCGGCGGCGAGCGAGGGGGCAGCACGAGAAGGAGAAGGCCTCCTGAGAAGGCGGCCGGGCTTCTGGGAAGCCCTCGCCCCTTCTGAGAAGAGTTCTGTGCCTTCTCCTCCTCCTCCTCCTCCTTCTCCTCATAGTCCTCCTCCTCCTCCTTCTCCTCCTCTTCCTCCTCCTACTTACTACATGGCTGGCGCTGGCTGACCGCATCGGTCCGCCGCGTCCGGAGATACCGCGGTGGGGGTGGCGAGTACGGAAGACGGATGTTCAACGGGCGTTGAGGACAGCTGGGAATTCACGGCCAGGTCCAGATGGGGTTCCGTACCAGGCATGGCGACAGTTGGGCCCACTAGCAATTACGCTCTTGTGGGAAGCGGGCCGATTTCTGGAGCCGGGCCTCAAGCCAGGAATCATCGAGCACGATAGCTTCAACGCTTCTTTATTGTGTTGTCTGCCCAAGAAGGCAACGCGGGAGGAACAGGACGGCACACAGGTCTACGAGCCTAAGGGTACCCCGCCCCTCAGCATTACCAACACCGACAAGCGCCTCATTGCGAACGCGTAAAGGCTGCAGTGGGAACCAATCATTGCCCCTCGAACTACGCCGGAACAGCGGGGATTTCTCCCCGGCCGCTCCATGCTCAAGAACATCATCTAGTCCTGAACGATGAGTCGGCGATCGTTTTGTTCGATTTCACGGCTGCATATCCTAGCATTTCCCGCCGTTACTTGATGGCGACAGCAGAGGCGGCCGGGCTACCTGCTACTGCTATGAGTGTTCTGCAGTCACTCTACCACAATACAGTTGGCCAAATTATGCTACATGGACGCATGTTCGGAGAGGTACCGCTGGAAGCTGGCATACGTCAGGGATGCCCATTCTCGCCGCTCCTTTTCGCCCTCGCCTCGGACAGTCTACTTCGGATCCTTGGGGTCCGATGCCCTCGGGCAACAACCAGAGCTTTCGCAGACGATACTGCGATGACAATTGACTCGTGGAGCCGGGACCAAAAGACAATTTTCAAGACGTTCAAAGTATTCGAAACAGTGTCGTGCCTATCCCTCAACGTTTCCAAGACGGTGGCGGTCCCTCTTTGGGGTGAGGAGCTGGGTAGTATAAGGCAGCGCATGGAAGCAGACCCGGAAGTGCCGTCGGTTGCGTGGGACAGCTCGGGCCGTTACTTGGGTTACCAGGTGGGGCCCGGGAAGGGGGCGAAGTCGTGGGAGAAAGCGAATGCCAAGTACGAGTCCAGATTGGATGAGTGGGAGTGGAGCAAATTGGGCTTGCACGCATCACTGGAAGCATACAGCATCTACGTGCTGCCCGTGCTGCAAGTTCTGGCTCAGCTGAAGTTTCCGCCACCATCAGTTCTACGCCTGGAAGACATAGCTGTTCGACGAAATGCTCCGGGACCAGGAGCGTGGTGTCAACCAGTAGATCTTCAACACGGCTCGGAACTTGGATTTTCCCGGCAATTGCGGCCTCTTCGCGACGCGTGCATGTCCGCCATGCTGCGCATGCATGCTTGGGAGTCGCTGGGGGACGGAAGAATACCGTGGAGGCGATTCCAGAAGGAGCTCGTAGACGCCAGGGGGAACACAGACCACGTTGTACACGCCGCGCGGTTGCATTGTTGGCACGCCCAGCACATTCCTATTGTGGTCTTGACCGCTGTCCATGAGGCCTCGATGGCGGGGATCGACATTGGGGTGGCACGACAACTGATCGGGGAACGCGCGGGCGCTTTGACGGCACCAGAGAGGCGAAGGCTCCAGCGGCGCACGCAGTATTGGTTTGGGAAAAACTTCTTGCACAGCGACGTTATGATCCAGTATTGCGGCTCAGGCATCGCTCGTCGCGGTGGCGCCTGGTTGGCCCGCCCGCCCACGCATCCCGGCGCATGCACACAAACCTTCGGAGGTTGCGAGGATTGGTGCCCCCCCGTATACGAGCAGCGGTCCTTAGCACCGTGTTCAACCGCTGGACCACCGACCGCCGCATGCGGGCCCTGCGCGGTCGGCGGCGCACGTGCTTGCTGGGCTGCCCGGGCGCCGCTGACGCGGCGGAGCATTACTTGCAATGTCCAGTGCTACGGTCTTGGATGGCCACGCGGATGGGGATGCGAGATCTACCGTTCAGCATGGAACGCTGGACGTTCGCCCTTCCCTTGACTGATCGACAACTTAGGTTGACAGCGGTATCAGTATACGTCATGTACCTTTTGGTCAACACCTCTGGCACAACAGCAATCATGATCGCGATAACCAGATGAGATTCATGAGCCAACTTCTTCATGAAGCTGTCAGGGACAACGGGGGTCTACGATGCTGCCGCGGGGGGGGGCCTTCGATCTCGGGCAGGCGGCGGCGGCAGAACTGAGGTGGCAACCTCCAGCGCCGACTCCCGCACCGACCAGCTCACCTACTCCCGCGCCGACAAGCTTGGCGGCCCCCGCGCCGACCGGCCTCCCGACTCACACGCCGACCAGCGCGCCGATTTCCGCACCGGCCAGTTCGCCGATCCCCGCGCCGCCCAGCGCACCGACACCCGCACTGACGGGCTCACCGATTCCCGCGGCGCCCGCCGAGGAGGGGCATTCCGTGACACGAATATGGCTTGCCCAGACCTTCGCCAGTCACGCCGACCAGCTCTTCGACCTTCTCACCGGCCAGCTCGCCGACTCCCGCGCCGACCTGTTCACCGACTCGCGCGCCGTCCAGTTCGCCGACTTCCCGAACGACTAGTTCACCGACTCCCCCGCCAACCAGCTCGCCGACTCCCGCGCCGACCAGCTCATCGACGCCCAGGCCGACCAGTCGGGGAGGAGGAGGAGGACAGAGATTAGAAGACGGAGGCGAGGACGAGGCAGACGGAACAGAAGGATGAGAAGGCAGATTTCCGCGCCGATCAGTTCGCCGACTCCCGCACCGACTGGCTCGCAGACTCCCGAGACCAACTCCCGCACCGTCCAGATCACCGACTCTCGCGTCGACCAGCTCGCCGACTCTCGTTCCGACCCGTGCGCCGACCCCCGCGCCGGCCTCAACGACTCCCGCACCGCCCATTGCGGGGTATTCCGGGACACTGATACTGGATGCCTAAGGTGACACGGGGGGCCGAAATTCGTGACAATTTCGTTGCGTGAGGCCGCGTTGCAGCGTGATGCAATACACTGGCATTGGCAGCAAATCGCGCTGCTCCAGATCCTGCCCCCGCCACCTTCGCCCCATATTATCGACATCCACCCCCGACGCTCTGACATCCAGCTCCCAGCAGAATGCAACGAAGTACAACCGGCAACTCTGACGCCAGCTCCGACGCCGTCTCCGACGACAGATCCAATTCCGACATCAGCACCAACTCCAACTTCCCCGGCGTCTCCGACGCCGGATCCGTCACCAGCTTTGGCGGCGATTCCAGTGGCTCTGCAGACGACGGTTTCGACAACTCAATTTTCTGCCACCTCAACTCCGGCGGCGACTCCGGCGACAGGTCAGGCGCAAGCTCGGACCACCTTTCTGCGAGCAGCCCGATGACGGCGGCGAGCACGAAAGTGAACGGCACGTTGCTGACCAGCAGTACCGCGAGTGGCACCAGCACAATCAGTGCGACCAGCACGACCACGGCCACGAGGATGAGCACAACCAAGAATACGGCTCCTACCGCCGCCTCCACAAGATCAGCTTCCACGACTATTTCTTCCCTCTCCATCTGCAGCTGCCCACTCGCAATCTTCTTTCCCGTGTCGACTCCTCGTCCACGATCGCAGCCGTGCAACACTCGCACTTCTCCCACCCCTGTCGTCTCCTCCACGACGGCTTTGACCACGACCGCATCGTTGTCCACGATCCCCCCAAACATCACCGCGACTACCACGAATACGAACGCCCCAGCGGCCACCATCGCCACCAGGATGACTTTCACCAAACGGAGGCGGTCAAACTCTGCCCCCTCACACGATGTTCAACAGCGTCGATGCCAGCACCGACTCCAGCATCGATGCCAGCAGCATCGTTGCCAGCAGCACAACACGTGGCAACAAATCCTGCCCCCCCCCCACAGACAGAGTTTCAACCACGTTCGCGGGACAGTCTCCCTGCAGACGCCCCGTCTGCTCAGGCGCCCCGCGCGCCATGCCGTTCGAGTGCCCCGCCAGCCAGCGCCAAAGCCGATGTCTACGACAGCACCAACGCCGAGAATCGCCGCGATCTGAGTCCGCGACAACAATGTTTGCGCCTACGCCGGCACCAACGCCCGAGCCTACACCAGCACCGGCGCCTACGACCACGCTGGGGCCAACGCCAGCACCTGCACCAGCGCCGACGCCAGTATACTCCAGCACCAACACTTGCGCCCACGTCGGCACCAACGACGGCGCAAAGGTGAGCTGACCAGCTAACCGCTGCGCATTGGCACCAGCACCAACGCCTGCGCCTTCGTCAGCGCCGACGCATCACAGTCGTCAGCACCAATGCCAGCATCAAAGCCTGCGCCCACGCCGGCACCAACGCCAGCGCCTACACCAGCGGCGAAGTAAACCACTGCGCCAGCACCAACGCCGGCGCCTACGACAGCACCAACGCCGAGCATCGCCGCGCACCGAGTCCGTGACATCAACGTCTGCGCCTGCGCCGGCACCAACGCCAGTGCTTGCGCCAGCACCGACGCCTGCGACTGCACTGGGACCAACGCCAGCACCTACACCAGCGACGACGTCAGTATGCGTCAGCACCAACGCTTGCGCCTACGTCGGCACCAACGCTGGCGCACCGGTGAGCTGACCAGCTGACCAGTGCGCACTGGCGCCAGCATCAACGCTTACGACTTAGCCAGCGCCGACGCCGTCACAGAGGCCAGCATCAATGCCAGCATCAACGCCTGCGCCTACGCCAGCACCAGCGCAAGCGCCTACACCAGCGGCGACGTCAGCCCCTTGCGCCCGCAGCAACGCCGACGCTTACGACAGCACCAACGCCGAGCAGCGCCGCGCACCGAGTCTGTGACATCAATGTTTGCGCCTACGCCGGCACCAACGCCAGCGCCTCCACCAGCAACGACGCCTACCACTACACTGGGACCAACGCCAGCACCTGCACCATCGCCGACGTCAGTATACTCCAGCACCAACACTTGCGCCCACGTCGGCACCAACGACGGCGCAAAGGTTGGCTGACCAACTAACCGCTGCGCACTGGCACCAGCACCAACGCCTGCGCCTTCGTCAGCGCCGACGCCATCACAGGCGAGCCAGCACTACTGGCTTGAGCCAACAATGGTGCGGGCGGCCGCTCTGCTGGAGAGGCGGAAATTCGGGCAGTTATTCGTAACGGCACAACGCGTGGCAAGGCGCACCGCGCGCCCCGCCACTCGAGTGCCCTGCCAGCCAGCACCAAAGCCGACGCCTACGACAGCACCAATGCCGAGAATCGCCGCGCACCAACGCTCTCGCCTTCGCAGGACGCCGTCACAGACGCCAGCATCAATGCCAGCATCCCCGCCTGCGCCAACGCCTGCACCGACGCCAGCGCCTATGACAACACCAACGCGGAGCCTCGCCGCGCACCGAGTCCGTGACATGAACGTTTGTGCTTACGCCTGCACCAACGCCAGCGCCTACACCAGCGCCGACGTCAGAATGCGCCAGCGCCAACTCCTGCGCCCACGTCGGCACCAATGCCAGCGCACCGGTGAGCTGACCAGCTAACCAGTGCGCACTGGCGTTGGCACCAACGCTTGCGCCTTCGTCAGCGCTGACGCCATCACAGACGTCAGCATACGCCAGCATCAACGTCTGCGCCTGCGCTGGCACAAACGCCAGCGCCTACGCCAGCGGCGACGTCAGCCCCTGCGCCAGCACCAGCGCCGACGCTTACGACAGCACCAACGCCGAGCATCGCCGCGCACCGAGTTCGTGACATGAACGTTTGCGTCTTCGCCGGCACCAACGCCAGCGTCTACAACAGCACCGACGCCTACGACCACACTGGGACCAACGCCATCGCCTACACCAGCGCCGACGTCAGTATACGCCAGCACCAACGCTTGCGCCTACGTCGGCACCAACAACGCTGGCGCACCGGAGAGCTGACCAGCTAACCTGTGCACAAAAGCGCCGACCTCAACGCTTGTGCCTTCGCCAGCGCCGACGACACCACAGACGCCAGCATCAACGCCAGCATCCACGCCTGCGCCGACGCCGGCACCAACGCCAGCGCCTACAGCGGCGACGTCAGCCCTTGCGCAGCATGGATTGCGGCACCGACTCCAGTCTTGACTCCCTCACCGGGTCCCGCTGCAGATGCCGCATCGCCATTACAGGCAGGAGAATGGGTATCAGGTGCAACGCGACCAGCACCAGGTGCTGCATGACGGGTGCCACTTCGCCGACGTCGATTTTTGAGGCTGTCTTTCCTCCTCCCTCCTCTCATGCATGCAGTTTTGTTCACCGACTTCATGTTGTCTCGGCGATCGTGGCGGCGCTTTTGCTTGGCCATGGCGTGCATGTGGGCGCATGCTCCCCCTTTCGAGACCGCCCCCGTTCCGCTTCCGAGCGGGGCCGTCTCCACTCGCTGCGGACCTGCTGCCCGTGAAGATCACACACTGATTAGCTTTGACTTGCCTCTGTTTCTCTTCTCTGTCTCTCTCGGTCTCTCTCTCTCTCTCTCTATCTCTCTGTCTCTCCCTTGTCCTCCGCCTTCCCTTGGTCTCGAGATTGAGCTGTTTCGGGCACGGCCTCTTACACTGTCGAGCGTTTCTCTTGCAATTCCTCATTCTGCACTTGCGTGCGAGGCGGTGGAAGAGTCCACGGCACTGTACGCACGCCGGCATAGAGGCTGGCTCGACTTTTTGTTTCCCCCCCTCTTCCTCCTTCTGTTGTTCCGCCCTCCTCTCGCGGCGCCCCTGTACTATCACACGATGTTTATGCGGCGCGTTAGTTGTGATAGGAATGCTTGGTTAGAGGACTGGTACCGTAGTGTACATAAGACCTTCGGTTTCCGCCGAGAGTCAGGGGAACTCTTCATCCCCAGGTCGCGTTCAAGGGGCCTTAGCGGCTGCGTCTTCATCGTGGGTAAAGAAGAAAAGATCATCATCTTCCTCCTCCTCCTGGCTTAGGAGACTTCTCAGAAGGCCAGGGGCCGTCAAAACCTTACGAGAAGGCCCGCCCCTCCTCGCTTCCCCCCCCCCCGAGCTCGGCGCCGATTGCAGATCCAGGCCGGTGAGCCAGTTCGTCGCCGAGGCCCCTCGCGACCAGAAAGCTCCCCGTCGTCTGTTAATTCTGCTGGTGCGGTGGCCCTGCAGTCCTTGCGATCCGACGGTCCAGAAAAAGATACAACACTGGGCCCTCTCCCTCCTCATCCTCCTCCCCCTCCTCCCCCTCCTCTCCCTCCTCCTCGTCCTCCTCCTCCTCCTCCTCCTCCTCCTCCTCCTCCTCCTCCTCCTCCTCCTCCTCCCCCGTGCCCCTCCCCCGTCCCACCGCAGGCGGCGCACACGTCGTCCAGCGCCTCCGCCTCGGCCGCGAAGTCGGGGTACCAGCGGCACCGGAAGGGTGGCGGGAAGGGCGGTGTGAAGCCGCTGGGGCCCAGCTACGACTGCAGCGCCGGCGGCAGCGGCTGGGTCGCCGAGTGGTCGCTGGCACGGAAGAAGTGGCGCCCTGGGGAGGCAATAGTCCGTAGGCTTGGACCCCCTCGGGTCATGAACATAGCACGACGAGAGGCGTTTATATATGTTCGGTTTCTGGAGGCCATACCGTGTCTCGGGACCGCCAGAAAACGATTCGGGATGAGAAGCTGGTCCAGGAGGAACAGGTCGAGACCTCTGGGGGCCGACGTCATGAACAAATCATGACGATGGGGGTCGGGGGACTGGGGGACGTCAGCAATGCGCGTACCCTGATCCTGGCGGGGCCGATCTTGGGCCCAAGGTAAGCCCCCGATTCTGAGCCCAGGATTCGCCTGGCCAGGGTCGGTGTCGGTGCATGGCGGGCGTCCTAACGTTGTCGTCCCAGGAGTCGTCTTGGCTGCACGTAGTGACCTGAAGGGTCAGCGGCGCGGCCTTGTGAGGAGGATCCCTGCCCCCCCGAATGCTCGGAGAGGGGCATTGTTCTTCATGAGTCTGCCCGCTTCGTTCCCCCTTGTTTGGGGTAGTGCTTCTGAGAAGGCCGTTCCCTATAGTCGGGGAGACGTAAGACTCGGTACGGGGGACTCGGGTTGGCCAGACGGGGCCATCACAAAAATGACGTAACCCAATCAGAAATTTGACGCGAGCTCCTGCTGCAGACATCCTACGAAAATTGGACCGTCAAAATTCAGGACGCGCTTGTCAACAAAAACGTCGGCAAAGCTGAGTTCCGGCGTACTCGAGTCTTATGGTTTCCCGATGTGGGCAAGTGGTTTGGGAGGGGCGGGGAGCAGGAGGAGGAGCATCGTTCCTGCTCGCTTCGAGGTTTGGGGGCGACGGCCAAAGAACAGGCGATGTTGCAGGTCGCTGGCTTCGTTCATCGCCCCGACACGTGGAGCAAACGCGCAGGGCGACGTTGTGCTCCTCCTCCTCCTCCTCCTCCTCCTCCTCCTTCTCGCCGTCAGGCCGAGGCAATTTTCAAATGCCTCGCCACCGCGGATAAGCGGTGCAGCCTGGGCTCCGTGTGGCACCGCCTGAATGCGGTGTGGGTCCGATGATGTCACGCTCCTTATCCCGCCCGCTCGCGGGTGCGACAAGGAATGGGCGGAGGGCGGCAGTTCCCTCTGGGAGGTTCGTGGTCGTTCGTTGTCGTCCTTCGTGTCTCGTTTCGTCGTCGTGTCCGTCGCCCTTTTCCTTTTTGGGAGTTGCGGCACGGCCCTGGATTAGGTTCCGGGGTGGACGTTGTTTGCGCTCCTGGGCCGGAGAGCGGCCCCCCCTCCCCGCCCTGCCGCCGCCGCTGTCGCCGTCGCAGCTGTCGGGCCAGGGCTTTTCGCGCCCTGTCACCTCGGCCAAGAGGTGCGGCCTGGGCGCGGGGAGACCCCAGTGGCACCTCCTGGTATGAGGTGAACCGCCGCTGGCGATCACGGAGGCGGGGCCCGCGGCTTCTCGCCTGTAACCTCTCGGTTGCAGTGCTCTTTGCCGCGGGCACACTGTTGCCGTGCTTGTGAGGGTGCGGGCGCTGGGCGACGCTCCGTGCATTGTCCCTTGGGCGCCGATCCCGATCCCCCGTGCGCCATTTTGGCGCGGGGTGTAGGGCGGTCCTTGGTTTGCTTTCTTTGCTTTGATTTCCCCCCTAAGGCACGGCGTTTCTGGTCTGGCGCTATTGGGAGTTAGTCAAGGAAAGGAGGCCGGAGGTCAGGTCCCAGCTTGTGTCGACGTTCCCTCTTTTTGCGCGAGTGCCCTTGGTATTGGCACGTTGGCCCGCGCTTCGCTGAGCGCCGCGGATTTGTTCTGCCTTCTGGGCCGTCTACACACACTCCTCCTCCTCCTTCTCCTCCTTCCCCTCCTCCTCCTCCTTCCTCCCCCTCCTCCTCCTCCTTCTTCCTCCCCTCCTCCTCCTCCCCCTCCTCCTCGTGGAGGGCGTCTTCCGATGCCTGCCCAAGTTTTCCTCCTCGCCCGCGAGCTGGAGCCTGGACATTCTCGGGGTCGGTCGATTCATTCGTCCAGGCTGAAGTCGGGCCTGTCCCTCTACAGAAGGGATATTTAGAAATCGTCTTACAATGGGCCTGTCCGTCTACAGGGATTTAAAATATTAAAAAAATAATCAACAATTAGTATGGGGGGTATGTTTTAATACTATGTTTGAGCATGTTGGAAGTATGTTGTGAACATTTCTCATTTGTCCTCCCAAATCCCCCTGTAGGGGGACAGGCCCGACCTACAAATAGTCGAACAATCGTATGGGGACGATGTGTTGTTTGTTCCCCATATGTTTGCGTATGTTTGAGGATGTTTGAGCTTTCGTCAAAAATCCCCCTGTAGGGGGACATGCCCGACGTAAGTCAAGGCCGCGATCGCGCAAGGTGGGGTGGGGGGCGGGGCCAGGAGTGGGGGCAGCTAGTGATTGGGTAACAAACAGTGACATATGCATGAATTTTCGGAGGTCCGCGCGGATATCTTGGATCGGCGCCGTAGCCCCCTGGCGGAGCCTCCTGCGCCGCCCATTTTGCCCTCTGCGCGCCAGAGATTGGGGTCCAGCGCCGATCCAAGAAATCCGCGCCGACCTCCGGAAAGTTTCTGTTTATGACATTGCTTGTTCCCCGAAGCGAGGGGTGGACACTTCGCTCGGGGCTCGGCCGCTGACTCGGTCGAAGTCCAAAGCGCTCGTGCCTTTCATCTGCGCCCGCTTGTGGCGCTGTCCTCCGCTAGCCTGAGCCGTCGAACCTCTTCTGATGCGGTTGCTCATCCTTCTCTCCTTTTTTTCCATCGTCCCACTCCGCCATCTTACCCTCGTCTCTGCTTGGCAAGTCTGGTGAACCACCCTGTTTCACACCACTTGGTTAGACGGAGTGTCTGAGAAGGGAGTGCCGCTCTGCCGTCCATGCCGACTTCGTTTTGTGAGTGGCAGGTTTTCGATGCCAGGTCCGACTCCGATGTTTCGGGAAACACGAAACACACCAAGCATCAGCAGGACGTGCTTCTCTTGAAGCCAGAGATGGCATCAACAGCTCACGAGACATAACACGCAGATAGTCGATGGGCGGGGCGGGGGAGTTGCGTAGACAAACCCTTCAGGTGTTGCGAGAACGAGAAGGTGGGTTGCAGGATACATCCGGCGAGCTCGTCGACAACCAAGGCTCGCAGCGGGCTCGGGTGATCATCACCCCATCCCAACAATTCTAGCAACTCTCTCCCAAACATTCGTGGTGTCTCACGCCCTCTGGCTCCATGATTTAATAATTTGTAGTAGTGATTAACTGGAGGCACCTCGACCAGACTTGACTTGACTCTCCAAAACATTCTCCAAAGATGAACTGCCCACGCGGACCAGGTCGCCGACAGACCAGGAGCGTGGTGCAGACAGCGAGAGTTGTTTTTCTTTTTTGCTGACAAGCAAAAACATCGCAGGACAGAGTTTGAGACGCCCTGCCTGCTCCTCCCCCTCCTCTTCCTGGGGGCATGGGGCATGGGGCCCCTCGACGCAAGGCAAGAGAGGGGGGTGCGGGGAGGAGGCTCAGGAGGAGGAGGAGGATCCAAAGGAATTGGAGGAGGAGGACGAGGAAGGTGCGGGGAGGAGGCTCAGGAGGAGGAGGAGGATCCTGATGAGTTGGAGGAGGAGGGCGATGACGGTGCGGGAGCAGGCTCAGGAGGAGGAGGATCAAGAGGAGTTGGAGAGGGGAAAGGAAAGGAACAGGTGCGACACCGAATCTGCCCCGGCAGGGCAGGGTTGACATGGGGCGAGGAAGAGGAGGGCGAAAACGGTGTGAGGAGGAGGCTCAGAAGGATGAGGATCCAGAGGAGCTGGAGAAGGGAAAGGACCAGGTGCGACACCGAATCTGCCCCGGCAGGGCAGGGTTGGCATGGGGCAAGGAGGAGGAGGGCGAGAACGGTGTGAGGAGGAGGCTCAGGAGGAGGAGGATCCGGAGGAGCTGGAGAAGGGAAAGGACAAGGTATGACGCCGAATCTGCCCCGGCAGGGCAGGGTTGGCATGGGGCGAGGAGGAGGAGGACGAGGAAGGTACGGGGAGGAGGCTCAGGAGGAGGAGGATCCAGAGGATGCGGGAGGAGAGGCAGAGGCAAGACGCCGAGCCCTGTCCCGCAGGGCAGGGCTGACACGGATCGGGCGCGCCCCCATTCTCGGATCTCGTGTGGGTGCTTCTGTTTCGGCAGGGCAGGGCTGACACGGATCGGGCGCGCCCCGTTCTCGGATCTCGTGTGGGTGCTTCTGTGTGCGGGAGAAATCGAAGGAAAAACAACTACATAAACATAAGTTTTTGGCGCTCCGCGCGGATTTCTCGGATCCGCACTGGGCCCACTTGGCGGCGCCTCCGGCGCCGCCCTTTGGCTCGCTCCTCGCGCCAGGGAGGGGGGTCAGGAGCGGATCCGAGAAATCCGCGCGGAGCGCCAAAAGTCTATCTTTATTTGTTTTTCTTCTTATTATGTTTGTGTTTCTTCTTCTTCTCCTTCTAAGAAAGAGAAATGCACACAGAGATAGAGGAAGTAGACAAGAGAGTGAGAACAACAAGTAATACCAGCAACACCAGCTACACCTTTACCAGAATGCGCAATGCTGCAATATCCCACATGCATACATCATGAGAGCTCCCCACCATTCATGTAAGGGGGCCCGATATTCCTCTGTCCAGGTATCCCGCCTGAGGAGGTCATGCAAACATGTCTCCCTTGGCATTTGATTACCTCAAGCTCAAAGTGCGCATTGCCATCGCCATCTCAATCGCTCGTCCAGCACAGCCCTGTGTCATACACAGGGGACTGCGTCTCATTAAAACGATCCGATGCGGCCAGACGCTCGCATGGCGCTGTCGTGCATCCTGGCGCAGCCGGTCCGGTCCTGTTTCGACTCCGTGCCGGTGCAGCCCGATCCAATTTCGAGGCCAATTCGATTTTTTTTTCAGATCCGATGCTCACTGATCCTGCCCACGAGACGCTCATTCGTGAGCTTCTTTGTCACAGGAAATGCTGCCGGCGCAGAGGCGAGAGTGCCAGAGCGGATTGAGGGCTCCAGGAGT